GTATTAATTTGCTTCTTGCAGTTGCTGAAATATTGCATCATTGCCTTGATTCATACAATTACCCAACCCCTGAAGACCATCTACCTGATCCTACTGGTTATTATTGAACTCTTTCCCGTCAACTTTCAGGACAAGATGCAACAAGTTTCCCATACCACAGAAGTGCTCCATGCTTCAGTCTCCACTCTTGATTCCTTCCAAGATCTGTCTAGACGAATCCTCTCCCAAATATGGGAGAAAGTGACTAAGGAGGAGGAACATATGAATGAGCTGCTGGAGTATTTGGCGTACAGTACACCTCTCTGTTGGTTTGTGGGACCCTTCAATGCTTTAAGAGGTAGAACATAAGCAGACTCCACAGAAACTGCAGAATATGGATAAGAAGGCGCACAAAACATGTGACACTATTTAGACTGCATGCGTTTGGAAGCTGTTACAGGACAGGACTTTCCGGTGGAGCTAATTTATTTGTAGAAGTGTCAAGTTTGTCAAACAAAAGCTTTGATCTTTGTGAACATAATAACAGCCATACTGGGTCAGACCAAAGGTCCATCCTGCCCAGTATCCTGTCTTCCGACAGGGGCCAATGCCAGGTGCTTTCAGAGGGAATGAACAGAAGAGGTAATCACCAAGTGTTCCATCTCCTGTCACCCATTCCCAGCTTCTGGCAAACAGAGGCTAGGGGGGACACCGTCCCTGTCCATCCTGGCTAATAGTGATGGACCTATCTTCCATGAACTTATCTTGTTATTTTTTGAACCCTGTTGTAGTTTAAATTCTGTTCCAGTGGTCTCCTATTGTGAGTAGAAAGCTTTTTAAGGGCAAATTGAGATTTGCCCTACATAGCCAGGTAGGTCAGGAAGAGTGGCTGAGTAGGGAATCACTGTTCTGTGGCTGATGGGATATCAGGCTCTGTGGGGCTGCTACTGCCTTCCCCAATGCAGGTGGGAAGAGAGTGGGCAGACCAGACAGAAGAATATATAGACCTTCACTATATGTCCTGGGACACTTGCACAATGCAGGCCTGCTTCTCCACTGCTTTGCACCTTGTGTAGTCATTTACCCCTGTGCATAGTGGGTGTGAAATGCTGCCACATCAGAATGGCAGTGTAATCCAGCCTAACACAGTGGGGCTTTTGTCCCCCACCCCATTAGCCAGTCCACCTAAAGAAGTGTATGAGTTTGCTAAGGAACCTGGATTCTTCAGCACAGGTAACAGAGGCTCAATTTGACACAGGATGAAGAATCCTCAGTAGAGCTGGATAAAATATTTTTTAATCATAAATTTGTCCAAAAATGCATTTTTCAGAACACAGAAGTTATTTGCAAATTCAAGTAAAAAATGGGGGAAAGAAATTGAAAAAAGTCAAAACAGTTTGTTTTGGTCATTTCAAAATGAAATATTTTGACTTTTCATTTCAAATAGTTTCATTTTGATCATTTGGAAATGAAATACTTCTTTTTTCATTTTGAAATGGTGTTTCTTTTCCAAATTTAGCTAGTTTTAAAAAAAGGGAGAGGGTAAAAAGCACCCAAAACCTCCATGAAATGAAAAACTGAAAAAAAAAAATCATTTAGGGTCAAATGAATTGTTTTGTTTGGCTTGAAACACATTTGTTCATTTATTCCATTTAGATGAGGAAAAACTGAAAAATCAAATCCGTTTTGATTTGATCTGATTGTTTTTAATTTTATTTTTTGTGCAGCCCCGAAATGAAAAATTCATTATTTGCTCAGTCCTAGTCCACACTCAAATATTTTAATTTTGCATGACAATGTCAAGTGGGAAAGGTGGCAGCTAAGGGGAAGGATCTCAGAATCTCAATCTAGTTGCCCATTTGGGATAAACATTTAGAAGGGAAGGTGATAGTGTAACGCTGACAAACCCCAGTCACCAGGATTGAACTGGGGACCTCTGGAGCTTAGTGCAGGAGCCTCTAGCACATGAGCTAAAAGCAACTGCCTCTTAGCGAAGGCTGTAGAGCAGACTCATTAATTGCTCTCTCTTTAAGTGGTCTCGGTGCCACTCGATGGGACAGAACACCACACCCAGATGATGTGTGGGTTACAAAAGCACTAACATAAAAAGACTACAAGGGTGGGAATTAAGATGGATTCAGCACTGGTTAGGGTATCAAAATTAAAGAATCTCAGTTGCTTCTGGAATTATCCATGACTTTTTTGCTGCCCCAACTAACTGCACCAGAACGTCACACCTCTTCAAAAATATCACAAGGAATGCCATGAAGTGGTTTGTGCCACAAGGCTGTACTGTACAGTGAGCAAGAAGGAATCCAATGGGAAATGGTATTTTTATA